GTTAACCATATTGTGTGCACCCCTACTTGAGGCCATAGAGAAGAAGCTTGACAAAAACATGGTGACCTAACCAAGGTCGAGAAATGAGGGCCCAACACAACCCAAGTCAAGTCTATACTACAAATTCCATATGGACTATGGCCACACTACAAAAAGTTGTCGTCATCTCAAGGCGATCGAGAGGTTGATCTGAAATGGTCACCTCAAGGAGTTTGTATACAAGGACATGGAGCAAAGGATCGAAGGAGGAGGATGGTGATTAAGGAAAGAGACAGAGAGATCTAGATGATCGGGAGGTCGAGAAGGATGAGGCCCCACAGAAGAGGGGTGTAATTCACATGATTTCAGGAGGACCTACAAATGGGGACTCGAACAACGCTAAGAAGCAACATGCTTGAGCTGCTGATAGAAAAATAGAGGAGGTCAGCTTTACATCTTGAGCACCGATAATATGCTTCAAGACTGAGGACGTCAAAGGCCTGCATGTACCCCAAAATGATGCTTTTGTGATCTCGGCGGAGGTCGCAGGCTATGATGTACAACATATATTTATTGACACTAGGAGTTTAAGTGGATGTCATGTTATACGATTGCTTTAAGAAAATGAATTTGGATGCCAAGCTTAAGAAGATTAAAACATCTTTGTTCATGTTTAATGTCAAGAAGATCATCCCCATGGGAGAGATCACTCTACTAGTTTCCCTTGGGACGCGCTCGAGGAGAAAGGTAAAGATGGTCAGATTTTTGGTTCATACAATATCATTCTAGGAAGGCCGAGTCTTAACACTTTCCAGGTCGTGGTATCCATCTACCACCTGGAAATCAAATATCCGATTGGTGAATGTGTCGGGGAGGTCGAAGGAGACCATCTCACCTCTAGGTCTTGTTAACTAGTGACAGTGAAATCGAGAAGGTAAGGTGCCAAGAAGGAAGGTAAAAGAGCCAGAGGGGCGAGTAGTTCGACAAAAGAGAAGGCTAGGTCGAAAAGTGACAAGGAAAATGAGAAAGTCGAGATGTAGCCTGTAGAGGAGATTGTCGAAGTACAGATGATCGAAGGGAGTGATGACATGAATTTCAGGATTGGTGAAAATATAGTCGAGCTGTTGAGGTTGAGCTTATTAATTTGATCAGAGAGTTTTTGGATGTCCTTGCATACACTTCGAAAGAGCTGATGGGGATGGACACCAGCATTATCTAGCATAGACTAAACATTGACCTCAAGGTTCGGTCAGTTAAGCAAAACAAAAGACACCATAGAGCGGAAATGGACAGGGTCATAGAGTAAGAGGTCAACAAGCTTCTAGCATATGGGTATATCGTCAAACTTTAATTTTCAGAGTGGGTTTCGAACAAAGTGATGGTGACCAAGGCGGAGGGAAAGTGGCGGATGTGCATTGACTTCAGAGACCTCAACAAAGCTTTCCCGAAGAGTTACTATCCTCTTTCTAGGATTGACCAGCTAGTTGACTCAAAAGTCGGGTGCTGTTGAACTTTATGGACACATCCTAAGGGTACCATCAAATACCTTTGGCTACAGATGATCAAAAGCGAGTTAGTTTTGTGAGAAGTAAAGGGACTTATGGTTACATGGTCATGCCTTTTGGTTTGAAGAATTATGGGCCATGTACCAAAGGCTAGTCGACAAAATATTCGAGGAGCCGCTCTGTTGCAATATGGAGGTCTACGTGGATGACATGCTTATCAATAGTAGATTGAAGATTGACCATGTGGTGTACTTGAGAGAGACATTTAGCACTTTGAGAAGACATGGAATGCAGCTGAATCCCGCTAAGTGTGTATAATAAATTAATTGTTTGGAATTAAATCAGAAATCTCAAGTCATATCTTGGAGAAAGATCAATTTCGTTATCAAGTAAGATTTAGTCACTGCGTAATAAAGTCATTACTTATAGTAGGATTCCAAAGTCCAAAATGCTCAACAGAACCTCTTAAGGGGGTTGAACAGTGCAAAGTAAAGGGGTAGAATGTTTGGCTGACGAGCTCGAAGATCCTAAAACCCAAGTTGGGACAGAAATCTAAATTATAGCTCAGATGCCTATGATAAGTAAGCTAGGCATAACTCCAGTTTGGAGTCCTATGTCAAATCCGTTGGGTAGATCTTCGAGCTACATCTCGGAGGCCCATTTTAAATCAGCTAGGCAGAATTCTTGGTTATAGCTCGGAGGTATATGTCAAAAGCAGTTAGGAAGAACTCCAGTCTTGGAGTCCTATAAAAACTATTTAAGAAATCTAAATTCACAAGCTCAGATAACACATGATCAAGTTACCAGTAAAAGGCCACAAGTCGTTTAACTCGACTGCATCAGATAAAGCCAGTTTAACTCGCACATGGTCAACAAGTCGTTTGACAAGGTGCCAAATTATGAACTGTATAAGAGAGATAAAGGCAATACAAAGGTCCTACGACATTCAGCTCGAAAACATATGAAAGTAAAGTGTAAGCAAGAACCTTGAGCAGCCGAGCTTGGGGCCATAAGTTTAAGTTGACAGAAACTCGAGAAGCTGAGCTCGAGGGCCATAAGATTAAGAATGGCCAGATCTCGAGTTAGATAGCTCGAGGAGGGCATAATATTAAGCCTGTAAAGACCTCAAACAAGTGAGCTTGAGGGCTATAAGCTGAAGGACGACAGGACCCCGAGCAGGTACCTCAGGGGGTTATAAGATCTTTTAGTAGTAGAACACCGAGTTGTTATCTTGAGGACCATAAGATCTTCATGAGACCTCGACAAGGTAGCTTAAGAGAATGAAGTTTCGAAGTGACATCAAATTGTAGTTGTGATAAATAAATCTCATCATTATTCGTGAAACTAGGTCTTGAGAGAATAATCTATTATATTAAGCAAGGTAATCAGGCAGCAAGTACAGTCAGCTCGCCCTGAAATGGGGGGCTTGAAGAAGAAGACGGTGCAACACTCAAAGTTGCTCAATAGACTTGCTAGAATGGTTAGCTCGGATAGGCCGGTCCAGGAGAGCTCCAACACGTTAAAAAATAACCCAGTTAAAGAGCTTGTATACGAGCTCAAAGTATTTGCCGACCTGAAGAAAACGACCTGGAAGCACTAACCCCCAGGACCTCGGATTAAGAGAGGTCACCTCAAGGTGCTATGATCATAAACTCTCAGGTTAGGTTCAACCTCAGGGGAGGTCAGGTTCGACCTTGGCATGAACCACAACAAGTAGGTCTGGATGTCGTGGTTACAGCTTTGGGACCTGTGGGTTGCACAGTGAAGGAAAAGAGAAACCAAGTATGATGAATTAGCATGATGAGTCCAATTTATCTAGTTGGAGCAAATTCAGCTCGCGATATTTAGCCTAAGAAGTCAGGGCAAACCAGATAAAGTTTAAAAGAGAACATTGAGCATACTAACTTAGAGGACCACAGTTAATCAGCAGAACTTCAATAGGGGGATGAAATATTGTCATAGGGAAAAACCCCGATCAAATAACTCAGGGGTTGAAAGACTCAACTAGTACAAGAAGCTCAAACAAAAACTGATGTCAGAAGCATAAGTTATTCCAATTCAAAGCAAGCAAGCTATTCCAATTTGAGTAGGGTTCTAGAAGTGGCATAGAACTTGATATATTCAACTCATAGGGCCAAAGAAGCTCATACAAGACGAAAAAGGGACCAAGCTCCGAGTAGGCGAGCTCAAAGGTTTACGCCTAAGCAGTTAGACATTTCCAGAAAGGCTAAGATGTTTTCAAAGGGCAGAACGTCGAGCAGAAGAGCTCAAGGGCCCCAGGACAGTTGATACGACCTTCAGTGGTTAGCTCGAGGGTCGAGTAAATAAGAAGAATCTCTAGTAGTAAACTCGAGAACCGAATAAGGATATAGAACTTTGAGCTGGTGCTTGAGGGTCTTGGGTCTATGAAGTATCATTTCACAAGTGAAAGCATCGTAAAGAAGGTGGCAAAGAAACCAAGCTTTCAGTACAAATCGTGCATACTGAGCAAGTAGCTCAAAAGCTTAAGTAAGTCAAGTGGCCATGTTGGCCCATGTCAAGAAGCTCAGAGGTCGGGTGACCTAAGGATTTCGGATACTCGAAGGGACCACATGGCTCGTAGTCAAAGAAACGGAGATTGTTACAATCTGGTTAGAAAGAGAGCATATCGACAACTTGGTTATAAAATTACTTTTAATAATGACTGATTGATAAATTCAATTTTTATTTGTATATTTTTGCTATTTTTATATATATGATGAGGGATAGATAGTAAAACAATTAGAAATAAAGTTTCATTAGTAATGCAGAATTTAAAATAAAAAATTTAAATGATTCTATTCTCCTCATATAAACATTTTTAATAACCCACTAGTGCAATAGACCANACACACAAACAAACAGAAACTATAAATATATTATAATTGAAATTTTAAAAATAATATATTCACATTAAAAACAATTTACCACATATGATTAGATTGTTTTTGTTAAAGAAGTTGATGGATTCTGATGAAAGATAATTGAATGGAGAACATCATAATGAAATTTGGTACGAAAAATGTATGAATAATGTGAAATAATAAAGGATTAAGAAAAAGGGAAAATTTCAAAACTAGTCCCACAAGTATAAAGGGTGACAATTTTGATCCCGACGAAATAGAGGAAAAATGAATAATCCCACAGGTTTTAAAAAATGATCAAAAGTAGGACTTTTGTTGCTTTTTCGGCCCGGAAAGCCACGTCGCACACATGTGGCTTCTTTTTTTACACGCTGGAAATACACATCCGACGTGGCTGAGTCCCTTGCCAATAAAACGGGCAAAAGCACAGAATCGGGAAAATTCAATTCCCCTAATTTCCCAACATTCTCAAACCAAAAATTTAGAACCCTAATTCCCAAAATAGCCCCAAATTCACCATGGAATTTGTTTTGATAAAAACACACTTGAGCAAAAGCTGAACGCAGAAACGGGCATACTCAAATTTCTTTCCCCAATTTCCCAATAATTCCCAAATCTCAACCCTAATTGAAATATGTCTTTTGCCACCGGAGATGGGACATGCCATTGTGGTCGGAGGACGATGATTCGGACATCATGGAAGGACACTAACTCTGGGCAGCGATTCCAGTCATGCCTGAATTACGAGTTAAGGTGTTAATTAGAATAGTTGTTTTAATGAAGTTTTTAATTCTTATGTGAAGAATTTATTTTTTTTCCCTTCAATTCTAAATTTGACTCTTACAGCATGGAGGTTATAATTTCTTTGACTGGTTCGATCCTCCAATGTGTCGTAGGTCTGAAATGATAATTCCTGGCCTCTTGAAGAAGATGAATGAGAGTCAAGTTGAAATTGAGATACTGAAATTGAAAAATGAAGATTTGGTGGAGTTGAATAAAAAATTGAAGAAGATAGTGTTCATTTTAAACCAAGTGAAGATGCTTTAGTGAAGATGCTTCAGTGACTGTCAAGTGAAGATAGTGTCCAATTTCAAAGTTGCTAAGAAGAACCCAAATAGAATGAACCAAGTGAAGATGCTTCAGTGACTGTCAAGTGTTATGTATTAGATGATGTTAGGATCTTATGTATGAAGTGTTATGTAATAGAATTTTGAATGGTAGCATAGTGAAGATGTTGGTGTTTGCATTTTGAATAGTAGGATGAAGAAGAGCTTTTGCTGGTGTTTGTATTTTGTAAGGATGGTTAAGATGTTAGGATCCTACTTATGTTATACTGTATTTTTGTATGTTATGCTGCAGTGAATGAAAGCATAACATTTTTTAATGTAAGATGTTGTATTTGGAATGACAGAAGTTGACTGGTTTATGTTCATTGGAAAGTGTGACGGTGAAAAATGAGATAAATGAGGGTAAATTTATAGAACCGAAATCGAAATTATTAGGTTGTTTTTTATTTTATTTTTCTTGTGAGTGTTAACTTTGTGTGTGCTACGTGATTTATTATTGTGGGTGAGTTTGTGGTAGCCTAAGCTCCTTTTGGGATGTCCTCTTTCTAGATTCAACATCTGATTGTTTTCTAGTTATAATTATGTGATATATTTATGTAATTCTATCGTCCAGAAAAAAAAATAGAATAAGAGTTGAAGGAAAAGAGAGATGGTTAACATAATGGGATGAAGAAAAACGAATTGGGGTGGGGGTATTTATAGTCTTTTTTTTCGATTTTTTTTTTAATTTTCGAACGGAAACCCCTAAGGTCCGGGTCAACCCGGCGGGTCACGCAGGTCGGGTAAAGGATGACCGTTGGATCTCAACGTTCAAATGATACAACGACGCGATTCAAAAATCCAACCGTGAGCGACCCGGCCGAGCCGGGTCCGACCCATAACCGGGTTTGAACCTTGCCGCTAATTATTTGAAAAATAATAAAATTAAAAACTGACTGTTGGATTTCCAACGGTCAGATTTATCTAACGGCCCTGGCTGTCGGGTCTCCAACGGTCGATCCAGCCCGACTCGGCTCAGAGGAAAAATAAAAGAAAAAAAGGTCGAAAACCTGGACTCGTCTTCCCGCCCAGAACGGACGAGTTAAAAAAATGTAAGACTCTGAATCGATCCGTTTGTAGCATGGGTCCGGTCCAATGACCCGTACATACGAGTCGGTTCGGGGCCAGGTCTGTAACGCCCCATTTATTTTTAAAAGAAAAGGCTCGGTTTTCAAAAATCGAGTTAAATTTTTCAAAAACAATTTCATATTAAAATACTCTTGGACGTTACTTAAATTTCTTTCTTTCTAAGGCTTGAATCAAAAAGAAATCTTTTCCACGAATAATTGTACAAACAATTGATAATATATTCAAAAGCCCATAATTTCGATAATATTTTCAAAAATACAATAGTCGAATGATTTAAAGAGAAAGTAAAAATTTGCTAAATATAATAACGACCACCCTCGTCTCCTCGTGACCGCCGCCAGCTACTTAACCTGAAAAATGTTAATGTATGGGGGTGTGCAAACACAAGCTCACCGTGGGAACTATGCAATATATTTAGTATAATAACCGGTTGACATAACTCTGATATGTAACAACTCCCATAGAACTTCAATCACATAGATCAGTGTTACATAGAGCAACTCTCTTGGTGGTTTGGTTTCTTTGTTGGCTTTTTGGTTTGATGGGGCTGAAGATTTCTAGTGGTTAGGCTAGCTTCAGGTCCCTAGTAGTTTGGCTTTGCACACTCTTGAAGTGTTGCTCGCAGGTCCTCTTAGGCTTTCTCGGGTGGTTTGCCCGTTTGTACTCTTCTGATTTTCCTTTCAATGATAGAATAGTATTCTATCGTTGAAAAAAAATAAAAAACGCTACAATTCAAAAGGCTAGAATCACGAGTTCCAAATCCACCATTTTCACACAAATATAACCAAAATCCACTAAGATCCCAACATCACCAATTAACAGCAATTATACTACTATTTAAACACCAATCTCAAAGGTCCGAATATCCACCAATTTCACCCAAATAAGCACACTAATTAAATCTCAACTAGTATCGTGGCCCGTGCAAATGCACGGAATAATTTAAAATAAATCAAATAAGGAAACATAAATAGAGTAAATAATTTTTATAGACAATTAAATAGATTACTATATACAATGTTTATATTGTATATTTTATTTCTCATCATAAAATAATATCTTGTGTCTTTTACATAAAAGTTTATGTAAATGAACAAATAATGAGCTTGACATTCTTTAAACGAAAAGACCATTGCATGCTTTTTAAATTCATAAATGAAGCACCTAATTTCATAGTTCGCGCATAAAGTTTTGCAATATAAAAGAGATTTATCCATGTTTGTCTCATTATATGCAAGATTTGAGAAATAGTATCATTTTTTTTATATAAAAATGGCTAACTTATTTGACTGGGACGTTTATTGAATTTTTTGGGCATTATTTCTTAAAAACACATCATATTTGATTTTGTTTATATAATAAATAATTTATGTAATAGATAGACTATATCTTTTTTTTTTCCTTTAACAAATTACGAATCATCTTATTTGAAGTTGAATTTTTTCTATATGGTATATAATTTTCAATATTATAACTTCTNATATTTTCGTTTTTTTATCCTATTATTCTAAACATTTTTTTTACTGGTATTAAGACCAATTTCAAGTTATTTTTTTATTAAAAAACTATTATTTTTTAGAAGAAAAAATCCCTTCTAATAGCTTGTGTGGTTTTATAATTTATATCGCAATTTTACTTATTAATATTATTTTTTATATATGTAATTACAATTTCTTTATTTGTAAACTATTCTTTTATGTAAATAAGTACCATATTATTATCTGGTATCTTCATATTTTTAAGAAGTCTTTAAATATAAATTATTATTTAATACACATCATAAATAATTCACCGTGATTCGACATGTTCTTTACATGTAAAAAGAAAATTAATTTGATATTTATGAGAAATCAAAACAGAAAATACATTTTAAATTGCCTATCTATAAATGACAACAAATTTAAGTCCACTTTAACTATTAAATTATTTTTAAAAATTAATTAATTAACGCAAGATGAACATTGAACACGTTTAAAAAAATAATAAAAAAAAGACTGAAACTAACTTTCTATAAATAATAATATGATGAGGGACTCACTAAAACACTTACTATTTTTTAGCAATTGTGTTGCCTAATTATACAGTAAATAGATTTACAAGATACTAACTACACAAACAAAGATCTAAATTCACGAAGCTCAAGGGAAAATTCAAGATTAACCGCACTTCTCGAATCTACACGGGAGGAGGATTTTGGTTCGGTTTGCGCCCACGAAGCTCTCGGCTCCCGCTTCAACTTGCTTCGGTTCTTCTCGAACACAACGGCTCTCGGCTTTGCGGACGGACTGAGGTTCGGCGGGACGTCGCTGAGGGTTACAGCTTGCGGTTGCAATCGGTGGTGCACAGCAGACACGGATGGAGGTTAAGCGGCCTGATCTCGAAGTTCTCCTCGGATCTCGATCGCTCGCTGAATCAGCGGCCTCGCGCTCGGCTAGGCTCAAGTGACGGAGATGCTCGGGTACGCCGGCGAAAGGGGCTCGTGAGGGCGACTAGTCGGAGTCTTCCTCGGCCACGGTTAGCCGCGGCTGCGTGTGGTGGAATTCAGTTTCCTCGCGCGATTGGTGGCTGACGGACGGGACCCATCGGAGATGGCTGTTCGCCGCTGCTGGTGGACAGTCTTGGTGCGAGTCTCGTCGCCGGAGGTCGAGGATGACCACGAACTGAGGCTCGACAATATTTGGAATTCGCGGGTGCTCGGTCGCAGGGCTACTGCTAGCGGTGGTTCGAGGGCGCACGACGGCGAGTTTCTGGGTCGTTCGCGGTGGCCGGTGACTGAGGGGGGTGGGCGATTTAGGAGAGAGGACTTTCGAGAGTTTCTGTGAGAGAGGTCCGATTTGCTGAAAAATAAAAAAAAAATAATCGAGATCTGATTTCGGGAAAAGAGAGGTGGGAATAGAGGGAGAAATAAGTCTATCTTGAGGGAAAATAATTGAGAGCAATTACCCCCAATTTGACTAACTTAGGGTGATTGAATTCATAACTTAGGGTGATTGAATATGAATTCAATTAGTAAAAAATTAGTTATTTTTTAATTATAATTAAGTTTAAAAAAAAGTAATATGATTATTTGTTAGTAGATATATTAAAATAATATTTAAATTTAAATAATTAAAGTTGATTTGATGTAAAAGTAGGAGAAAATGATTGGAAGTGATAGTTAATTAAAATTATGTGAGTGGATGAATAGTGAATTAAAGTTGATGTGATGTGTAGTAATGATTGGTTGATATTATTTAACTATATTGATAATATTGGAGATAGTAGAGTTGAGTTAAAGTATAGTTAAATTTGAGTTTTGATTGGAATATTTACTGTACAATTCATATACAATCACGCCCTTAATTGCCCAAAAAGAAGGACTTAAAACCGGTCAAAGGGTGGTTAAAGAGCATCTACAATGCACTAGTGCATAGCCAATGCAATGCACGAGACATATATATTAAATGAGTAATTTTTAGAGGGCTAGTACGTGTAGGCAAACAACAATAGGGTTGGATCATCAATTTTCTACTTCTTTCAATCAATGATGTTTATTTTAGCCATAAGGATGACATGTTAATTAATATATTATTCTGCTCACACATTATACTAATATAAATTTGATTTAAAAAATAATAATCGAGATCTGATTTCGGGAAAAGAGAGGTGGGAATAGAAGGAGAAATAAGTCTATCTTGAGGGAAAATAATTGAGAGCAATTATCCCCAATTTGACTAACTTAGGGTGATTGAATATGAATTCAATTAGTAAAAAATTAGTTATTTTTTAATTATAATTAAGTTTAAAAAAAAGTAGTATGATTATTTGTTAGTGGATATATTAAAATAATATTTAAATTTAAATAATTAAAGTTGATTTGATGTAAAAGTAGGAGAAAATGATTGGAAGTGATAGTTAATCAAAATTATGTGAGTGGATGAATAGTGAATTAAAGTTGATGTGATGTGTAGTAATGATTGGTTGATATTATTAACTATATTGATAATATTGGAGATAGTGGAGTTGAGTTAAAGTATAGTTAAATTTGAGTTTTGATTGGAATATTTACTGTACAATTCATATACAATCACGCCCTTAATTGCCCAAAAAGAAGGACTTAAAACCGGTCAAAGAGTGGTTAAAGAGCATCTACAATGCACTAGTGCATAGCCAGTGTGCACGAGACATATATATTAAATGAGTAATTTTTAGAGGGCTAGTACGTGTAGGCAAACAACAATAGGGTTGGATCATCAATTTTCTACTTCTTTCAATCAATGATGTTTATTTTAGCCATAAGGATGACATGTTAATTAATATATTATTCTGCTCACACATTATACTAATATAAATTTGATTTTACAATATATATTTATTCATAGATGTACGAAAAAATAAAAAAATTATATTTATTCCTGTTCATCATATAATACTCAATTATTATTTTATTATAATATTATTGTCATAAAATGTCATTACTATTATTTATAAAGATTATAAAAGTAGTTTTCTTCTTCTTAGTTTATGTAATGAAATTTAAAATACAATTTTGTGTATAAATGGTTACAAAATACACACACACACACACACACATGTTTTTTAGAATTTAATTTTCTCATAATAATTAAAAAAATTGATTTAGCAAATTATCAAATAATAAACCCTTACATAATCAAGAGATTTTTCTAATTTGCATCCTAAGACATTATTAGTTTATTTAACATACTGTGGAATATAAATATATATTTTACAATAAATTCCTCAAGGAAACATATAAAAAAAATGATAAAATTATCATGGTTGAAAATAATATACAAATAAATCAAAGGTTGAAATTGTAAAGAATAGTTAATATACTTTAATTTTATTTATTGTTGTCTAGAATTTAACAACGATAATAAACGATAAGGAGATGTAATTAAAACATTAAAAGTTGAGGCTTTTAGTATTATTGTGTTTCTGCGGAGTACAAGAAGTCGGTTTATATGTGAATTGAGCTATTTTGCATATGTATTGAATGCGTGTAAAAAGATCCCGTACAACAATAAATTTCGCTATTTATAGTAGTGTGTGTTTGACTTTGTCTACGAGGTAGGTGTGATCGCATTAAATGATCCCGTACAATAATAAATTTCGCTATTTATAGCAGTGTGTGTTTGACTTTGTCTACGAAGTAACTTTATGAAGCGGTTTGTCGGTCAACGGGTGGACAACAATGGTTGCAATATTGCAAGTGGTCCAATTATGTGGGCGCCTCGTCACCTGCTTCGGGCTTCGGTCATCTCAGACCTCGGTTTGCAGGGAGAACTTTCGAGAAGGAATCTTTAAGAAGTCGGTTTTTTTCCATGAACGCAAAGTCGGTTTGCGCCTATGATTGAAGTCGGTTTTAACGTCTGACTTGTACCGAGTTGAGTTAAGTTAGGCGTACGAGCGGGTTTGAACAGTGATCTTGTATTATTCTCATTAATCTTCACCTTAATCCCAACAAATCGGGTCGGTTGTCAACATTATTATCTAGCCATTAGTAAATTATTTAATTATGTGATCATTATCTCTTATATGGTAAATTATTTTAATTTGAAAAATATATTTATTTTTATATAATTGAATAAAGGTATAAAATATTATCGAAAAATATTAATTCACCAACTTGATTTTGGCTAATTAGTTAGAAGGAGAAAATTATTTAACATGTTACAATTGCTATAAATATTTTAGGATGAAAGTCAACATTTGTGAAAAAAATTTAATAATATGGTTAAGACTTCAATTTTGTTTTCATGTTTATGTTGACTAAAATATTATCAACATGAATCACGGAAATTAAAATTATATTTTATTATAATGGATATCAATAAAATTATTGCAAACGTTAATAAAATTATTCAACAAAAGAGTCTTGTGATCATATTTGATTTGGAAATGTGTATATGAAAGCAAGTAATACATATATTTAAAAAGTTTCCAAATAAGGTATGCATTAAATGCTCCCAGATTTTTTTGCTACCATTTTTAGTAAATGGTTATTCTCTTTATGTATATATAGATATAGATATAGATTGTATATAGTCTTGCCTATGTGGCATGTAATATCTCAAGTCTTAGATGACATGGTTAAAACTATGTAAAATTAACAAAATTCATTCTAATGCAAAATAAACCAAAGTCTTAGATGACATGGTTAAAACTATGTAAAATTAACAAAATTCATTCCAATGCAAAGAGACTAAGTCTCTACTTAGGTCTAAAATAGACTTAAGGGTAGACCGCATCCCTTTTTCTGTCTGCCACATCAGCAGGACCCAGTCTACTTTTATTTGCATTGGAGAATATATTTTTTTAGACTGGTCTATTTCTTAAGTAATATATAATTTGTTGTGATTGAACCCAAATAATTGTAGATGCTCTAAGGGCTCGAAATTCCATGCAAAAATTAGTCTCAAAGGTTTGAAATTTAAACCTAAGTATGGAACCAAATATTCACAAGGGCGGATCCTTCATTGAAAAGGCAAGGGCCGATTTTTCCACTTCATGGGCCGGTTAATACAAGATCACAATGGGCTGAAAAATTGCCATAATATGGGCTAAAATAATTGGCATAAGGTTGGTATATTCGCAATGCAAAAAAGGCCAAGAATTTAATGCCCAAAAGGTGTACGACTTGGCTAAATAAAGGGGTCACGTGCCGATTGAACTTGAACTCGAAATTGAACGATTTTTCGTTAGCAAACGAAGAAAAAGTAAATAAATAAATAAAATAATTTAAGTAGTCCGGGACATCTACGAAAGTTATTCAACCCTAAAAGAATAATTAGACGAGGACATCTAATTAATCTTGTTGAAATTACAAGCTCAGCCGAATTAATCGAACAAGCAAATAGTGCACTAAGCAAAATAAATTCACACAGGCATAAAAATCAAATTGACTCTTAGTAATCGAACGGACAATACAATCTACCCTCCTTAAAAGATTTCCATCCTCGAAATTAGAAAAACAAATATACATAGGCTAGATTGCCAACATGGTCTAGAAACTCGAAGGGATTAACATAGCGTGACTGCAGCTTCTACTCTCTCCTGAGACGGATCCCACCCTCTCACGGTGCGACGTCCAGGAAACATAATGCGTACCTCAATCTGCAAGATATTGATAATTTAAATTTAGAGTGTAAGTTTAACTCATGATCACATTGATAGATGACATAACTATAACTTTATAATTCATGAAAGTATTGTATTCTTGACTTAGTTAACAAGATAGTAAAAAGAATTGAATTATTAGTATCCAAATTAATTGTTAATTGTTAAAATACCGTACAAAGTAAAAAGATTTAATCTATAAAATGCACTCATCTATTATGCTTGTAATTCTTCACTCATTTCCCACATCAAAACAAAAAATGCACTCATCTATTATGCTTGTGATTCTTCACTCATTTGCCACACCAAAACCAAACTACTACTACTACTATTATCAGTAGTAGTATTATTATTATGTAGTGATGAGATGCACAAATATTTTTTTACGAAAAACCAAGAAAGGGATCGCCCACTTATGCGAAATGCTTAGTCAAGACTTCAATATATATA